TTACGACTTTCACACGGGAAAGTACAGAAAATAGAAGTGAAAGTGTATGAGCACTTTACTGAAACCACAGAACTCAAGCTGTAAGGAAATCAAAACCCTGCGAAATCCATCCATTACCCTCCTCTTTTGCTTCTCTCTATCAATTCCTCTCAGATTGATCAGGTAAGACTGTAATACATACCTCTCTTTAAATTAAAAAAAAAAAAAAAAAAAAAAAAGCTCTCTTGTCATCCCCAGAGATACCTTTCTTAGGCGTATATGAAGGACTGGAGGAGGATAGGAAAAGGGAGAGAGACTTAAGGAACACTACGATTGACACCGAAAAGGACAGGAAAAGAAGTGGAAGTATATCTGCACTTCATTAAAATCACAGAACTTCAAGCTGTAAGGTGTACACAACCCTGCTTGCCCAATTCATCCAGCTTGCCCTCCTCGTCTACCCTGCTACTCCATATTTGTTCCTCTTGGGTTGATGAGGCAAGCCTGAAATGTGTACCTCTGCTGTCAACCACAGAGATACTGCAAAGAATGCGATGTCCCAACTCAGAAAAAATAATGCAACTGGGGGCAGAAATGGGGCTGCATAGACACCGATCCATATGGGAAGCCTGTGACAAGCAGGGGCAACGGGCAACAAGCAGCGAACCAACAACCGTCTTAGTCAGATACCGAAACTGCTAACCAGTCCCACAGACAATTGCCAAAGTCCAGAATGAGTCAAACTATTTGCCCCAGCTGATACAAGCATCAGACAGGCTCTTGGGATTCATGGTCCGCGTCTCGCAACATGAAAAACACACAAACGGAGAGATGGGGAAGGGAGCTGAAAGCGGATGGGGCACAGGGAAGAGAATATGTGTCAGTCTGTGTAGCATCGTGTTCAGGCTCAGTGACCAAGCTCAACACTCAGTACCGAGCCCGAACGTGGCCCAAAATCGACCGAGCTCGAACTTTCGTTTTTTCGTATATAGGGGTTGGGGGGCCCCAGGGGGCATTGCCCATCACTCCTATTTTTATTTGTGTAATGACTCGCCAAAACAAAGACTGAGAACACTGCTGGTTTCTGAGTTTTGACGCTGGAATGTATGCCTGCCGAGATTCCTGCTTGTTCCCGAGTCTTCTAAGTCTGTGTGTAGGCGTGTTTGCTAGTGTGCGTGCCTGTCCGAGTGCTTGTCGGCTTGAGTGTGTGTGTGACCCGCAAGGACACTTGTTCATTCCGGAGACCCGAACACTTACCTGTGGCCTTGACTCTGAGGGTTGCATCGGGAAAAACACTCACGTAGCAGGTACCACACCAACTAGCGGTAGATGTGTCGGGCACTCGAGGCCGAGCAGAAGAAGACAAAAGTTGGCATTTTTTGAGGCCCAGTAGCTGGTAGGCTAGGTCTAGGCCAATACCAGTCCAAGTAGCCTGAGTCTAGGGCCTGTGCGGACAATTTCAGAGCCTGCAATGATGTTTGCCTCCGGAAATGGAGGTGGTACCAGTTGCTTGGAGGCCGCACGTTCTGGAAGTCACCACCCAAGGAGGCTGCTGCCTCACTATATCTCCAGGGAGAGTTAAGAGCTCTTGCTCATTTGAGGTGCAAGTTTGGGTGACGTACTGCTGGAGCAAGCCCTGGCAATTACAGCGCTCCTAGGAGGAAGGAGACCGGGAGCTTCTATCTTGGCTATGGTGGAGATCTAAAGGTAGGAGGAGGAGGAAGAAGGGGGCTAGGTAGGAGAGCGACGAGGTACCTACCAGGCTATGGTGGGCACCATCTTCATCACCTTGTTAGGCTCCGCATCTGGACGGCCCCAGTTGGGGTTGCGCCACACCAAGAAGGCGGCACAGCAGAGTCAGGCATGGCAGCCTGAACAGCTGCGGGATTAGCTGCTTTGAATAGTCTTTTGCACAGCAGGGCAAGGCCCTAGTAGTCCGCCATAGCCTTGGCCTACATGAAGAGGAAGGAGACGGGTGGCCATGGCTATGGTGGACCTCATGTTGTGCCTGCAGTAGAAGAGGGATTCAGACATTGATTCTGGTTCGGCCATTCATCATCATTATTATTATTTATTGTTTGAATAAAGCGGGGCGGAGAAAAGGAGGAGGGATTGGTTCATGAGAGGAAGGGAATTGTCATTGGTACATCTTCTTCTTCGTTCTTTCTTCCTCTTGTTCTTCTTTCTCTCTCTCTCCTCTCAAGTTCATTCATTTCTTTTTGCATTCCTTCTAAACTCATTCAATTTATATAGAATCTTTTATCTATGATACTTGTTAATTTCATTGGTATAGATAATGTTGAAGCTTCAACATTATCTATACCAATGAAATTAACAAATTAGTGAGGAAATGATTTTCTTTTCTTGTATTCATTTAAATAGAAATATAAAATTCATTTCATTCAATTGGTCGGCATTGTGCTTTCTCGTTGGCCAGGATCGTAACAATAGAAGAAGATGAGGAGGAGGAGAAAGAGGAGTCCGAGCGGAGGAGGAGGAGGAGGAGGAGGAGGAGGAGGAAGAGGAGGTGGAGGAGGAGTAAGAGGAGGAGGAGGAAGGCGGAAAAAAAAGGTGCGCGCTGACGTGGCAGCCGCGGCCAATATCAATGTCAAGCAGGAGGAGGAGGAAGAAGATGAGGAGGACGAGAAAGGGGAGGAAGAGGAGGTGGAGGAAGAAGAAGATGAGGAGGAGAAAGCGGAGAAAGAGAAGGAAGAGGAGGAAGAGGAGGAGGGGGAGGAGGAGGAGGAGGAGGAGGAGGAGGAGGAAGAGGAGGGGTGTTACGGACTCAGCCAGGGCTCGATCCCTGGTCCGCGGGTTACGACCTGCCAGGCCGCCATTCTATTTTCTTTTAGTCTTTGATATCCGGTTTCTGACTGTTGGCGTCCTCTGCAGTTGGCACCCGTTCTCAAATCCCGCTTCTGGCACTTTTGGATTCTGATACTTGGTGCCATCCGGCATTCTGGCGCCCAGGCTCAGACCTTCGATTTTCAGTTCAGCCCCTAGGCAAATTGCACTTCTGCCCTCGGGCTCAACTTGAGTCCGGTACTTAAGACCGGACTCAAGCTGAGTTCGGGGATTGAGTTTTCAGCCTCAGTGCTTGTGCTTCAGTGTGACTTGCTGCAACATTGCGTTCGGAACCAAGATTGCGACTTTGCGACTTGGCGACTTTGCCACTGTGTCTGCGTCTGTCGAGTCGTGTCGAGTCCGTGTCGAGTTGAGTGAGTGTGTGTGTGTGCTCTCACTCCCTCGCTACTCTGCCTCAGCCCTGTCACACTGGTATCGGAGCGGCTTCGGCCCTCCCTCCCGCCCTGTTTCATCATCGTCACCGTCGTTGCCACATCATCGTCATCGATTGCCTCGTCCTCGCTGCCACGTCATTGTCACCGCCGCCGCTGCCATCGCCGACGCGCAGGTAAACTACCAGCAAATTTTTATTTTTCTTTCTTTCTCTTCTTTCTTCTCCACATTTCTTCTTCTTCTTCTTCTTCTTCTTCTTCTTCTTCTTCTTCTTCGTTGTCATCGTCGTTTCTCCTTCTTCCTCTTCTTCTTCTTTCCTCCTCTTCTCCTTCCCCCCCGATCCTCTCTTCCCCCCGCTGCCTACCCAGTCCCATTTCCCACCCTCCTGCGACTTCGTGATCCTCGCGCGATCCTCCTGCACAATCCCTCCGCCCTTCCGGACCTCGATCGCCGCACGATTCCCCGCGCGATTCCCCGATCTCAACTCCCCCGACTCCCCCCAAATCCCCATTCCGCACCCTTACCCCGACACCAAACGGGATCCCCTTCCCCCGACATTTCCCCCGGTTGCGCACTACCCCCGTCCCCCGACCCCGATCTCCCTCCCCTGTCAGATCCCTCCGCTCATCCCCCCTCCCCCCGCGGCGCGATCC